ACGGCGTGGGGACGAGTCTATGCGCCATCACGCTGGAGGGGTTTCGGACACGCTGCCCGCAGACCCCGCACGCACTCGCCCAAGCCGAGCAGGCGCCGCAAGCTTTTGGGGGCGGCAGCTTCGAAGAGCCCCACGCCGAGCTCCAGGGCGCATGGAGCGAGGCAGCTTGCAGGGAAGACGGACTGCGACTGGGATGCTGGCGCCACGGGAGTGCGGCGGATTGTGGGCAGGGGCGGTCCTCCAACCGCGGCAACAGGGATATCCTGTGCAACCACGATGACAACCTCGCGGTGTACCTCGCGTGCCCACTCCGAGCGCCGACCCGTAAAGCCAGCCCAAAATGCCAACGCCGACAACGAGACGGGACGCCGCGAGGAGAGTCCGTTCGACCCTCGTGGGCTCCTGTGCAAAACCATGCGAGGTGGCCTTTCCCGCACCAGCTGGCGCGACCAGCTACATGACACGCATGATGGAGCGCATGGGGACATCGCGGGTTGCGCGGCACGAGCAGAACAGCGCGTGCAAGGTTGGGACCGCAGTGAACCGCCGACTGGGCCAGTGCAGGAAGCAAAGATGCATACCCAAGCGCACAACCCCAGCACAGGCCGACCCATCTTCGGGGGTCTCCACCCCCCCAGGAGGGCCTCGATCTCGCCCCGATGGCCTTCGAGACTTGGGCGCGGCCAGGCGCCGCCAGGCGAGGCAGTGAGCTTCGTGCGACTCTACGACGCGTACCTGGAGGACGCCGAGCGGGCTGAGCTTCTGAGCCGGGTCTGGCGCGACGTCTCCCGCACCCTCCTAAGGCAGTGCAGAGACGATCCGCGGTGCCCTGGGGAAGTAAACGCCAGCAGGCTGCTCTCACCATCTCCGCGGCCACCACCACTACCACGCCCCATCCCACCACGACGCTGGCAACCACTACCTACAACCACGACACCAGCGACAACCCCAGATACACGTATGGCTTCGACCACCACGACAACTACCAGGACCACCACGACGCTCACTCCCACCACGCCGCCGACCATGACCACCGCCCGCACGACCAGTACCGCGCTGGCCACGTCGACCACGACGACCACAACTGACGATGACGCCACGAGCGCCTTCCGCCCCCCCCTTCCTGCCTTCCCCCCTTCCTCCCTTCGCTCCCTTGAGGCAGTCACCGCGCGTATTGCCGCGGCGCTCCCCCTGCCGGGCTACGCGGACGGTGAACCAACCGCCGCCTGCGGCTCGTGCCCGTTGCCGCCTGCGGTCGCGCCCTCTTTGCGGCCGAGGGCCCGGGAGAGAGCGGCCACCCACGACGGCCCTCCGCACAGACGCCGACGCGGCGGCCGGGTCTGCCAGGCCAGCGGCCCGTTCGCACGACGCCGCCGGTCCTGGCCCTTGCCGTCTTGGCGGTGCCCCAACCCAGGGGGCCAGGGACAACAGGGCGGGCACCACCCATGGCCGTTTGCCACAAGCACCCTAGGCGAGGCAACATGCCTTTGCCAGACCCCGTGCTTCTGGGCCGAACCGAGGGCCACACTAACGACGATGTCGGTTAACGCCGATGTTTGGAAATTGGTATTTGCGGCGCCGAGCTCGCGCAGAACAAAGTGCAGGAACGCACGAACCGCGCGCTTTCCTGCAACTGGGTTGGCCACGAAACGCCCCGCCTAAAATACCGAAACCTACATCGCCGTTACCTACATCGCCTTTGGCGTCCCCTACGGCGAATGCATTGCCAACATCAAACTGATTGGTGCCATCTACTGGCGCGGTGTCCGCGTCGGCAAAGGGCGCAACGGACATGGCGCAGCGCTGGCCGGCGAGCAAGCCAGGGTCGCTACGCACGCGCGCGCGGCGCCCAGCGCTCCGCGGGCGCGCGCCCGCGATGAGGCCCCTATCGGGCGCGGCCTAACCGACCCCTCGCAAACCGTCCCGTTCCGCGTCGTCATCCTCGTCTGTCGAGCTCCCCTCCGGCCGCATACATACACCGACCCCTCGCAAACCATCCCGTTCCGCGTCGTCACCCTCGCCTGTCGAGCTCCCCTCCGGCCACATACATACGTCCTGGGGCGAGGCGAAGGGGGCGTCGCGGAAGGGGGCGGCTTGCTAGGGGTCGGCTAGGCCGCCCCCCTACGCGGCACTGCGTGACCGCCCACGGCCTCGGCCTGTCACTCGTAATTCATGAAGGTCTGCGAAAACAGCGGGCCTAGACAGGCACAGTATATGTATGGAGGAGCATTGCGCGCCCAGCCTTCGCGCTTGCGATGGCAGCGCTCGGAGAGGCCCAATCCTCAGGGGTGAGGCGGGCATGTATATTGTACGTGTGGAACGCAATGATCACGCGTTCAAATGCCAAACGATGAGACTCGCTTAATACGCCAGTCCGCAGCCCTAGGCGTTCGGACAGACATTCAGGGGCGAGGATACGGATGTGCCAAGCCATGCACACAGCGTGCCACATGTGCGAGCAAACAACATAGTGTGGCATGGCATCAATCGCAGATGGGTCATCTAGTCTCGAGCAGCCGAAGACGCACCCCTGCACTCCAGCAGCTCGGTGAAGCCTGCGAGATGTGGTCCAGCCACCCGCCCATGTCTTTACAAGGGCCGATTGGCCCGCAGGAGGAAACGACTTCAAAAGCTCCAAGACGGGTTCCCATTCGATCGGGCCCGAGGGGGGCTCAGACCCAGGGGGCCACCAGGACTTCAGACGGGAGAGAAAGGTGGGGACAAGGGAGTAGACATCAAGAAGCGAGGAGAGGAGGTGAGAGTGGATGAAGCGCTGCAGGCGGATGGAAGCCGCAGGCGATCGATCAGCAGCAGCGCGCTTGGCAGCGCGCCACTCAGAGAAGGCAGAGCGGCAGGCCTTCATCAGCGGGTCGGGGCGAGGCTGGTCCTTGTACCCCGTGGCCGCCTCCCTCAGGTGCAAGGCGAGGGGCGGCTCCTTCCAGTGCTTGGGGGCCAGGTTGGGCAGGTTCCCAAAGTGCTGCAATTCGAGATCATTCTGAATCGCCATCTGCAGCCTGCGCGTCCAGAGGTCCCAGTTCATGATCGTCTCTTTGGCACTGCGCATGAGCGTTGCGGCGGCCGAGTACTCCATCGAGGTGACCTTCAGCGCCTTCGACCACTGTCCTATGCTCACAATGTCCACCAGGCGCAGGGACTGGGGCGGGATGTGCCAGATGTGGTGCAGCAGCCAGGTTTCCTGGCGTCTGAGGTGCGAGGGCCATGGGGCCAGTTGGGCCATGTAGGAGGCCTCCGAGGCAGCCCTCTGGTTGTACATCATGATGCTCGTGCTGGTGGGGGCACACGAGTCCGCTATCGCATGCGCCACTACCTTCCAGCCCTCGACCACCTTCTGCCAGCGCACGTCATTGGATACCGCAGGTCCCAGAAGCACTCCGAGGTACTCTGCCATTGGTACAATCTGCATCTTCTCCCATCGCGGAACCAGCTCCAACAGTTTGGCGTGTACACGGGCCTGCAGCTCTGTGCTGAACCCCCCCGCCAGCGGGATGATCTTGCACTTCAGCGTCTTGAGGGTGGGTCTCGCCATCTTCTCCGCCGCAGCAAAGACCTGGCTGAGTGGCTTCAGCATCTGCATCGAGGGGAGGACAGACCCGATATCATCCGCGCACACCCCGATCACTGCTTGCTTGTGGTGGCGAGTGCGGTGAAACATGTCCCTGATCAGCGGGTCCATGCCGACCGCCCAGAGAGTGCCCGACCATGGGCAGCCCTGAAGGATGCCCGAGCCCAGCCAGCAGAATATGCGCAGTTGGCCGCTCAGGCTGGTCCAGGCCAGCGGGAAGAGGTAGATGGCGCCCACCATGTTGAGGATCGCGGAGGGGAATCCGCCCAGCTGCAAGACAGTGTGGAGGAAGAAGCGGCACACCGAGGGGAACGCATCGCCAAAGTCGAACATCATCATCAATGGGTCCCTCTCCTGGCTACGCGGGGCCATGGCTACGATCCTCGACTGCGCATCCATCATGGCCACATGTTCAATGAAGCGGCGACGAGGGAGAAACCCCTTCTGTGCATGGTGAGCGGTCTTCGCGACAATCGGCTTCATCAGGAAGTTGCCCATGGCAACAACAATCTTGCAGTCAATGTTCTTGAGAGATAGGGGTCGCGTAGCCTTCGCCAACCTTGTCACGGTCTGGCGGTCGTCAGGTTCAGAGCCCTTAGGGGTGAAGATCAGCAGCGACTCGTTGAAGCCCAGCGGTACGGGGAGACCTCTCATGGTCTCGTGCGTGACATTGAGGAGGACTTGCGCTGCCATGGGGGTCTTCTTCCAGGCCATGTACGGGAGGCCGTCAGGACCAGGAGCTGAGTTGTTCAGATGTCCGATGAGGTGCTTCATTTTGCCGATCGTGGGGATGTCCATGTCGGAGCAATCGAACTTCTGGGCGTGCTTCTTCAGGTAGCGGGCGACGTGCTGGGTGCGGCTCGACTTCGGCTGGAACACTGGCGCCCATTGCTTCTGCAGCTCTGCAATCATCTCATCAGGGTTGGACGTCTTGGAGCTGTCGTGCACGACTTCAATGGCCTTGAGCTTTAGAACCTTGCCAGAGGGGGCCCACAGCTTGCCGCGCCGTGTGATCGCCCTCTGCATCTTGCGAAGTCGCTGACGCTCCCGAGCGGGGGTGTCAGATGCTTTCTCCTGCGAGGTGATAGCTTCCAGTCGTTCATCTTGGTATTGTTGCTGGAGTGCATCAAACTTCCTGCTAAACTCAAGTGGGTTCTTCAGGGTGACGTTGGGTACGTCCGAGAGGTCCAAGAAGGTGGCGCCCAGTTCCGTGCATGCAACGAGGGCGCGTGCAGCCTTCACGTCGTCCCTCCACACTGCTCGGGATATCGATCTGCATGTCGTTAAAGCCGCCGCCGTGCACGGAGCACGGGAATTGGTGAGGTCATTGCGAGTGAGACGAGCCGCTTCACGTTGGAGACGTTTGAGTTCTCGGAGTTGCGTGAAAAGGAACGTAGGACTGCCAGGGCGAGGATGCCATCAGGGTGCCCAGGTAGTGCTCGAAGAGAGGGTGCTCGAAGATGTACATTGGGATGGGCTGGAGCTGTCCGTTCTCCTCCTGTTGCCGGTGGGCAAAGCGCAGGTGGACAGGGCCTCGGTCATAAAGAACTTCAGGGGCCAGCGGGACATCTGCTCGTGCGCACCACTGCAGTGGCATCCATGGCGGGGTGCTGATGTAAATCTTGTCAATCCGCGTGCACTGCTGTGACTGCTCCGTGTAGTGTGTAGGAATTTCAGGGTCCAACTCCGTCATGTTCGTCAGCACCGACTCCCAGGCGAGCTGGTGTTCAGGGTTGTGTCGGCGCAATCGTGGCAGGCTTTTGTTGACCAGCGGCGCCTTCATCTCCAGGGGGGCCTCATCCATGAAGTTGAAGTCACCCATGACGAGGATCGCGATGCGCTCAGGCTGCTGCGAGGCGGTGATCACCTCGGCGCGGATGGAGCCCGCGACCTTGTCAACCTCCTGCGCCGTCAGCCTGAAGTTGTGAACATTGTAAATGACCACCATGTTCGGGAGTGCGCCTTGGGCCGCCTCAGACTCCGACATCGTCTTGATGAGAAGGCGCTGCGCTCGGCCAGGGACCAGCTCCGTGTGTGTGAAGCGCGACTCGTCGTCAGCTATGGATTGTGGAAGGCCAGGGGCAATGATGGCCACGCCACCCGCGCCCCGTTCGGGAATGGAAGAGAAGATCGACGCCTCAATGTGCGCGAGGTGAACCGCATGCTGGAGTTCATGATGTGAGCCGTGTACTTCTTGCAGGGCCAGCAGGGAGGTGGAGCGCAGCGCCTCAGACATGCACTGGAGCTTGCGCCGCCGTTGCATGAAATTGTTGCATAGCAGAGCACGCGCATTCCATGCGGTGAACGAGATGCTCTGGTGCGAGCGTGAGGCTCTCCATGGTGCCAAAGTGCGGCTAGATCCTCCACTGAACCTCTCTCTCCTCCAAGGTGGTCTTGAAGAACTCTTCGAAGCTCTGCTTGATGGCGTCCCTGTTGATGGAGTGAGTAGAGCACCCGTCGTAGTTGAAGAGCACGCGCGAGGGAGTCTCTCGAGTGGCACCGACCACCACCGAGACCACGGCCATGTTGTTGCAGTAGATGACACCTTGCTGGCGATCTGCACGCCAACGTTTGTCAGGGGCGTGCTCACGACCGAACTGCGCGAGCTTCTTGTATTGGAACTCACACCGTGCCGATTTCGCCGAGCGGTCCAGGCCGAGGTAGAGCCGCGAGGTCTGCCCGTGGACGTTGGCCACCTCCGTCTGGAGCCAGGAGCCGTCCACTTGCTTGAGCTTGGCGTAGAAGGCGCGGACTTTGCGCGCGGCCGCACTGGCCTGACCCGAGAACTGGACCACGAATCGGCGTGCAGGACTCTTCCCTTGGATAGACCATTGATCAGGTTCCAGCTCACATCTGTCCATGATGGGCTGGATGCTCTCCTTGAACTTTTCAGCAGTGAAGTTCTCGGCAGCGGTGCCCACAATGATGCTGGTGTCGGCGTCGCGGTCCCACTCCAGCAGGCCCTCGTAGTCTTTGATGGGGATCTGGGCCTCCTGCATGTGGAGCTGCTTGCGCATGTCCGCGAGCTGCTCTCGAATCTGCTTGTTCGACTCCTCGAGGCGCTGCGCCGAGGTCTGGAGCTCGCTGATGTCGCCTCTGAACTGAGCGTTCTGGGAGGCTTGTTGGGCCACGACCGCCGCCAACGGACCCTTGAGCTGCTCGCCGAAGTTCGCGATGACCTCTGCCTTGACAGTGGCCAGCTTGGCGTCCAGCTGCTACGTGAGGAAGTCCTGGGAGGCCGAGATGGCCGCCTGCGCCGCGTCCATGGGGTCCACGACGGCAGCCCCGCGCTCGCCACCACCGTCCGTTGTCCGCGGCCTCTTGGCCCACGGGTCGGCTCCAGGGAGTTGCAGTGGGTCGCCACCACCGTCAACCGTCGTGGAGCCACCAGCAGCCCGAGGCGCGGGAGAGCCAGGAGCAGCGCGAGGAGTGCCAGGAGCAGAGGCCGCCGCACCAGGGGGCATCTCGCAGGTTGAACAGCCGCTTGCTCCCACGGGGCTGAGTGGGTGGAGCAAGGGCGTGCGCGTGAAAGAGCACTTGGCGCCAGAGGCGCACGAGAACACTTCTTTTCCTTTGACGGGAGTGGCGGCGAACAGAAGCCCCGAGGACTCGAGCTGTTGCCCACCCCCCGCCATCTTGAGCCAAAATGGCTACGGGCACGGCCTCCGCCTGCGCATCCGCGCCCGGTTCGGCCCCTGCCGCAACGTGCCAAGCTTCGGTCGGGCATGTGCCCATAGACGGGGGTTGTGGACGGAAAATAAGCGTAGTCCAACAATACCCCGAAGTAAGTGCTCAAAAGCAATTTAAAAAGTCGACCCCATATTATTTTTTTCTAATTTTGAATATTGCCCGACTTAGTACTGCCGGGCCTGTCCTGCTGCCAGGCGCCCCCTCGCCGCCCGCGGCCCCTGCGCCCCGCCGCCCCCCCCTTCCCCCGCCGCGCCGCCCGGCGCCCCCCGCGGGAGGCGCGGGCGCGCGGCCGCTCCTCAGGGGGCTGGCGGAGCGGTCTCGCTTGGCCAAAACAGGCGCTGGCCAAGACACCTAGTTCCCAACAGGTCGATGCTGTTCTCATCGTGCTTGAGGACCGCGTCCCCGCACTACTTTTGAGCACTCAAATGACAAGTATCGAGGCGGTGTCGAACGAGTCTCGCCCCCCGGGGCCCGACACGTGGGAACCCCCAAAGTTTCGATATTCTTCGGGTGCTCGAAATTATCCCTGATGGACAAGGCCAAAGTAGGTTGGAACATCATAGCCACATCGCGGGCGATGTTTCTCCCCCAATCCCCGAGCTTCGCCCGACAAGTTTCGCCGCTCAGAAAAATGGGAAAACCCTGGGATGCACCCCAAGGGGGCCATTCGGACGCACCCCTACCGAGCATGGACACCCCCACCATCGTATATCCCAGGGTTGGGCCCCAAATTTCTGGTCCATTTGGAAACCCCACGAAGCCTGGGATAGGGGTCGACACATCCCCTGTCACCACAGGCTCGCATCTTTCCTGGACTGTCGCCTCCCCGGGGGCTGTCGGCGGAGCGCAGAAAGGGCGGGGCAGGAACGGAGCGGAGCGGAACTCCGGAACACCTCCCGTTTTGCCTGCGGCATGCTGCCCCGGCGGGCTCGGAGAGAGGGGGGCGTGGGGGAAGGCTCCTTAGAAGGAAGCTGCTTCTCAGAAGGCGCCGGCCTTACATCCATAGGTAACGCCCGCGCCTTCTGAGTGGCAGAGGTGCTTCTCAGAAGCTTCCCCCCCCCCCCTGCGCCCCTCTGCGCGTGGCCGACACTGGGAGACACGTGCGGGGTAACGTTAAGGGGGGGGGCCGGCATTGGGGGGGGGCACCTCGACCTGAAATCGGCGATATACCGCCGCAAGATCGGCGATTGGCCTCCGAGTTGGTGGCGCGCGAAACGGGGGTAGGGGGAGAGGGGGGGGCTTCTTGGAAGGAGGCTGCTTCTTAGAAGGCGGCGGCCCTACATCCATAGACGCAGCTCGCACCTTTTGAGAAGCAGGGTGCTTCTAAGAAGCCACCCCCCCCCCCTTACCCCCCTTTGCGCATGGCCGAAAATGGGGGAAGGGCAACCGATGCAAGGACCACCTGCTCCTCATCATCCTCAACGTACTCCACCTCACGTCGTCGCAACCTAACCCCTTTTCCCACCTCCGCGTCAGGCTACTCCATCCCGTCGCCCAAGTCCGCCACCTTCTCGTCCAGCTCCTCCTCGCCATGCACCTCCCCGCCCACGCCGTCGACGCCCAGCTCGCCCTCCTCGTCCGACGGCACCCGGCACGCCCACTTGCAACCGCTCGCCTGGGCGCCGCCGCCGCCCGCGGCCTCCGCGGCCGGCGCCGAGGGAGCGGCCTGCGCCTGGCGCGTGGCCTCCACCGCGAGCACGTCCACCGCTGGGCCCTTCGCTTCCGCCACGCGCGCGGCCTCCGCCATGCAAAAGGCCACCGCCGTTCGCGCTCGGTCTCTGCATCGCGATCGGCCTCCTCCGTGGCCGTTGACGGCCGCGCGCGGAGGGCCGGCGTCCGCGGCAGCGGTCCCAGCGGCAGCCGCCACGGCGCTCGCCAGCCAGGCCAGAGCCGGCAGGGGCAAGGAACAGGCGGAGACCTCCAAGCGCCGCCAGGGAGCAGCGCACCTGCCACGGGCGAAGCACAAGAGGCGGCGGCAGCCTGGGCGCTGGCCCAAGTGTGCCATCGCCAGAGAGCAGCGCCAGCCCAGACTGCGCCAAGCACGCGCCGCGGCGGTCCCGTCATCACCCTGCGGATTGCGGCGTCTACCTTTCCCTTTGCCTGACGAGCGTTTGTCTCTACCCTTTCTTTTTGAAAACTGGACCAAGTTGGGTATGTGAGTGCCCCGTGAGGAATGCGTACCTTTGGGAGCCCTTGCCTTTGCCTTTGCCCTCTCTGGAGAAGGTGCTGTTCTTCTTCTGGATGAATCTGCGTACCTCGCGAATCGGACGTTGCATGTGTCTTCGCCACTGCCGTTGAACAGTCTTCATCTGCCAGAGCATGTGAGCCTCTATCTGGGCAGAACTAAGGACCTTGGAGCTCGGATGCTTGGTAGTTGACCTCCCCACCTGGGTTCAAGCACGCGCCAAAGAAAACCCGCTGTCGCAATCGGCCCCGTGCGCGGGCGCCCGCGCGACGGCAGGGAACGTTGCCTGCGGCGGCGCGGAGCATTGCGACGGGCCGGTAGCGCGGGTCAGGGCACCTCCTGCACCAGGAATCTCGGCGGCGCTGGCAGCCCAGGGGTCGAGACCTTGAGCGTGCCAAGGGTCATGTGCATCTTTGCTGTTGTCCTTGGTCATGCCCGCAAATCCTCTTTAACGATGGCGGCGTGCGGAGGGCGCTGGCGATTTTGTTTGGCGCATGCCCCACGATGTGACCCACGCGCCTGAGCACGCTTCGCCAGACTGTTGAACTCGGCCTTTGTGGCTGGTTATCGGATGCAGTGTGGCTGGAGCAACATCGTGAATAGGCGAGCTGTGACACCGACCGCTCGGAGCAGCCAGCTGTAGCCTCCCCAGGACATCGCAGCTCCACCGTTGTGCGTTGCTCGGAATCGCAGCGTGCGAAGCCTCGGGAGCAGCGCGTCGGTGATTTCGTTGCGTCGGCTCCAGATCTCGAAGAATTCGCGGCTTACCTGGAGGCGCGGCTCCTCGCCTAGTGGGCCGAACTCTGTGGCGAGGTTCGCGATGAGGTAGGTCACGGCGTCCTCTTGTTGGCCAGTGATCATGCCTCCCTCGTCACCCCGTGAAGCTCATGGAGCGCGTGAGCTCGCGAGCGGTCCGACCGAGATTGAGGATGACGGCAGCGCATTGTTGAGCGCTGTCCATGTCGGTGGCTGGCACGTTCCAAGCGAGCAACTCCTGTACCCAGTGGCGGAAGGGATACACGGACTCGCGCTCGGGTGACCATGATGGCGACTGGCGGGATTTGATGGCACCGCGGCCGCCACTGTCCTGTGGGCTGGTTCCGCCAGGCATCATGCCGGTGAGCCAGAACAGAACGGCAACGAAGAACACGAGGATGCTGCAGAACGTAAACATGGAGATCTTCCTCGATAAGACCTCGCCACGGCGATTGCCGCGTAGGCGCCTACGGACCCCGCCTGCGCAGAAACGAACGCCATGTTGAAATGCGGGGCAACCATGACGATGCCGTTGTCATCCTTGGTCGAGGCCGGGGTCGGTGAAACTGGGACATTGACTTGCAATGCTCCACTCGAGTGGGGCGATGTGCTCGCAAGGACAGCCTGCACAATCGCACAGGTACCGAAGCACGGCGTTGGCCCAGGATGGAGCCTCGCACCCATGCCCGACGCGAAGCTGCGGCTAGCGCCTGTGGGGTTTCGGTGGGTCGAGGAAAATCGTGGCGCTCCAGTGGGCGAGTCGTTCCTCATCGCGGTTGCGCCTTCTGCGGTTGCCCCCGCAGTCGGACCGGATGTCCGGGGCGAATTGCAGGTTGGCTTACAGAACAACCATCAACACAGGCTGCTCAAGGAAGGGAGGGTGGTACCAATGCGAAGGTGAAGGTAAGTGCGAATGTGGGCACACACCGCACTCTTCGCACGTTCTGTAGATCGCGAGCTGGGAATCGCTCCCAGCTCCGCTACCAACTAGAACTGCGGGAATTGGAACCTGTATGACAGAAAGCATGGCGGCAAGAAGATGTAGATTGCGGGGCTTGTACTCTTCATACAAGAAGAAAATGTGCGTCGACGCTCCGCCCAAACAGCGGCGACCTTCCTTTTTGATTGAGGGGGAGGAGGAGGAGGAGGAGGAGGAGGAGGACGAGGAGGAGGAGGAGGAGGAGGAGGAAGAAGAAGAAGAGGAAAACGGGAGGAGGAGGAGGAGGAGGATGTGGAGGAAGGGGCGAGGAGGAGCCAGGGAGCAGGGAGGAGGGGCCAGAGGGGAGGGCGGAAGGCACGAGGGGCGAGCGGGCCCGTCACTTGGCCGCGCAGCCTGCGGCTTCCGCGGCGAACGACGCCATGACGCGGCAGTGCTCCTGCATGCGCCGCCGAGCGGCCGGCAACACGCGGCCCGCCATGGCCTCCTCGGCGGTGTCGTCAACCTCCGCAACCGTGTCCACGGCGTCCAGGTGCGCCCCGCAGAACTGCAGCGAGCTCTCCAGGGAGGTGGCCTGGGGGCTGAAGCCAGGAGGGCACGAGGGAGCACTCCGTGGCGTCGTGGAGAAGGTACCCCAGCAAGGCACCCTGTAGCAGCAAAGGTCAAGAGGCGTGTCGAGGAGTAGGAGGCCGGCTGGTGAAAGCGTGCCTTCCTGTGCATTCCCAGAGAAACCCTGGGAACATGAAGCCAGGAACATGGCCATGTGCATCTTTGTCCTCCTGGCAAAGGATCAGTGCGGTCCAGACCACTAATCTGGCTGGCACTGAGGCGAGAGCACAGTTCTTGAACAGGTTGTGACAAAGTCTCAAGCGAAACGGCCGCGGGAGCAAACGCTCTGGGGCTCCCTGCCCCCCCATGTGGGACTCTCATCCCTGCATCTCTTAGGACCCTCGTGCGAAACGCTCTTACATAAGAGCGCACCAGGAAAACTTGTGTGTCACCATGTTCGACCTCTCAGGGCCCTTGCCGGGCCCCCGTGGCCGTCGAGAAAACAGCCCAAGATGAAGCACCAGCCACGGGGAGAGGGTCAAAGCCCGAGGTACCCCTGTTGTGAGACATCACGACGTCTGGAGTCTGGGGATCAGGGGGAGGAAAGGGGGGAGGGGGAAGGGAAGAGGGGGGGGATGGGGGCAGGCTAGGCGCGCTCGCGCCACATCTGACACCCGACCCATCCCACGCATCCCCTCCCATTGCGGTCCATCCTTCCCTATTCACTGACTGAGGCGATCCAGGGGGCTGCAAGCAGAACAGGAACCGAAGTGGGCAGAAGGATCGAGGACGTACCGAGGGTCGAGGATCGGGAGGGAGAGCTCGAGGATCGCGGAGGGATCGAGTGTCGAGGATCGGGGAGGAGGACCCGGGGATCGCGGAGGGACCCAGGGACGAGGATCAGAAGGAGGAGGACGGGCCATAGAGGGCGTGAGCGAGAGGGAGCAGGGAGCACGGACGCCGAAACGGGCACGCGATTCGGAGCATCAGGGAAGGAGGTCAGGATATAATGTGACCAACGCCGAAGCACGCCAATGAACCGAGGAGGAGGAGTAGGAGGAGTTGGAGGAGGCGGAGGAGGAGGAGGAGGAGGAGCGGGGTTTACAGCATCCGCGCGCATCCAAATGGAGTCGCGGTGCCCACTCAAGAAACATACCATGACGTAACAAACGTAGGTACACGCCGGAGAGAAGACACACCGAGAGCGAAGAGCGGATGAAGTGACCGACACACGCACATCAAAGCGTCGCACTACACACGGTAAACACATCGGCACGCCGGAGCCACCCTGGGGTGACCCAAACCGCATGCGGATGAAGGAGTGCTGCCAGTGATGCGGCGGGAGCGGCGTTCCGCTGGACAGGAGCCCGATGCAAACTCGCTGCATCGGGGGCACCAAGCTTGCGGGTGCAGGACTGCGGCCAACGATGCGGCGACTGTGCCGTTCTGCTGGACGGAGGCCCTACGGGGATCATTACATGAGGCACACGCTGCACCGGGAGCGCCAGCGTCGCCGATGCAGGAGCAGGGCCACCGCGGCGACGCAAGCGTCGCCCCCCTGGACGGAAGATCGACGGATATCAGCAAACGTGGCAAAACCCTAAGGCGGGAACACTACTTTCGAACATGTAGGAGTGCGGCCAGCGTTACGGTCAGCGTCGTTCCGTTGGACGGAGACTCCCTGGAGGTCATGAATTGCGGCAAGCGCCGCAGACGTAGTATTACCGTCGGAATGCCGAATATGTTCGGATTTGGAAAACGGTATCTCATCAAAAGCCGAGTCCGGATGATCCCGTGTGGTAAGCCCCAGGGGGGCTGCAGGGGGGCCCTGGCAGCCCGGGCGACCGTTTGAAGGCAGACGCCCAATCCGTTCTGGCGGCGCGCATGAGATTCGACGAGAAGCTCGCCGCGAGGTCAAGGAGCTGATTGCTTGGGCGGCGCCTCCCCCGTCGCAGGGCTCCAGACGATTGCTGTGCTGCTGCCGCGAGACTCTCGGCTGGCAGCCAGACATAGAATGCTCGACCGTCCCAGGCACCCCCGGTGCTCGCAAATCCCGTGGGAGGAGCAACAAAACACTACACGAGATGAGGCGGGAGCAGATACAGACAGCAGCAGGCGAGATCGGAGAGCAGCTCCAATGGTGCAAGACTGCGGGGGAGCGAGATGAAGGGGTTAGGGAGGGCGGCAGGAGGCTGGAGAGGGGGGACTGTCCCGAGAGGTGGCCTGGTGGCCGAAGATCCCCATGCCTGCGCTCGGGCCCCCTGGACGAACATCCACCGCTGAGGGACCTGCGTTCCTTAACCCCCTCTGGGGGGACCCATCGTATCGAAAGGGGCGCCGGAGCATGTGGGCCCCCCTGGGAGGCAAGGACGACGGCTCCCCCAGCTGCGGCCTGCCTGCCTTGAGTCCGGGTCACGAAGACATGCTTGTCGCGCAGCATGCCGTACGCTGCGTAGCGGCGCATAACCCCGCGCACCACCGGCAGCCTCTCGACCACGCCTGCGGCACGGTTGAGGAGCCAGTGGCCGGGGAGCTTGCGGAAGGCGAACCCGCTGCTGAGCACGCTCTCCTTCATGGGCCTGTTTTCCATCACCATCACCATAAGTTGGAGGGGGAGGGGGTCCTCCTCCTCCTCCTCCTCCTTCTCCTCCTCCTCCTCCTCCTCCTCCTCCTCCTCCTCCTCCTCCTCCTCTTCGTCCTCCTCTTCGTCCTCCTCCTCCTCCCCCCCTCCAACTTATGGTGATGGTGGTGGAAAACGAACCCATCACTCCTGGAAGCCCTTCAGCTGCGAGGGCACGTCGAACCAGAAGATGGGGTGCACGAAGATCAGGAACCGGCTCTCCTCCAGCTGGGCCTGCAGCTCCCGCACCCTGTCCGAGGCTGCCCCCTCGGCGCTCCGGCCCGTCAGGGCGGCCTGCAGCTCCGCGGTGCTCTCCAGGCCGAAGTGCTCCGGCCCTCCCAGCTCCAGCCTGTCGCGGGGGGGGGGCGGCCGCTCGCGGGCGGCAGGCCGCGAGGGGGGGGGAGCCTGGCGGAGGAGGAAGGAGGAGGAGGAAAGGGAGGAGGATGAGGAGGAGGAAAGGGAGGAGGAGGAGGAGGAGGAGGTCAAGGAGGATGAGTAGGAGTAGGAGTAGGAGTAGGAGTAGTAGGAGGAGGATGAGGAGGAGGAGGAGGAGGAGGAGGAGGAGGACCAGTGGAAGCCCAAGAGTCATCAACGATGTTGGAATGAACCCTCCCTCCAAGCTCCCTCTTCGTCGGCCCCTACAACGGCTCATTTCCACTGAGGGAACTGCCTCGCCGGGAGACAACCGTTTCAAGACCCTGGAACATGCCAAAACATTGTTCTCGGGATTCCAACGCCACGGATCAACCTGACTGTTGCGGCTTGACGATCTTGAACCGTGCCAGAAAACCGCTCCTGGGATTTGGACACCGCGAATCAGCGTCAATGTTGCGCACTCATGAACCCTGAATCCGTCCAAAACACCATTTCTGTTTTGTTGCTCATGGGAATCCGTGCCACTCGTTCAAATGTCAAAAACGAATGTGCGCGGCGCTGAGGCGAGAACCACATTTTGAAACGAGACCGCCTTCAATCCGTGGAAATCGTCCAAATCTGAAAGAAGGAATGCGCGCGGCCCTAAGGCGAAACCGCATTTTGAAAACGGCACGCCCTCAACGTGTGAAACTCTTGCAGGAGGAGGAGGAGGAGCAGGAGGAGCACGAGGAGGAGTTGGATATAGGGGTCCGGAGCACGGAGCGTCCACATCCACGGCCTCGCGGCCCAGACTCCTCGGCCGCGACCTCATGGATCCAGGGCGGCTTCGCGCGCGGGGCGCACTCGCGGGGTATCGCGCATCCGTGGGGGCGCGCCTCGGTGTGTCCAGACCGCGAGGGCACGAGCGAGGGCGAGAGTTCGTCGCTCGCGAGCCTGCGCACCTCCACCCCGGCCTCGCGCAGGCACTCCTTAGAGGAACCAAAGACAGGGCCTGCACAGAAACTGTGGGCGCTCCGCGCGGACGTCTTGGATCTGCGCTGGGCCCCCCTCCCTGGCGCGCGGGGCGCGCCAGGGGCGGCGCTGGAGGCGTCGCCAGGGGGGCCCAGTGCAGATCCAAGAAATGCGCGCGGAACGCCGAAAGTTTCGGCGGCGAGCAAGGGCGAGAAGTAAGAAGGAGAAGTCCTTCTCAGAAGGCGGCGGAACTTCTCAGAAGCACTCGCGCCTTCGCGGCAGGCTTAGAACACTTCTCCGAGAGGCCGGGGGACTGCCGCCGAACCTCCTGAGAAGGCATTCTCCTTCTCACTTCCCACCCCTCGCTCGCCGCCGACAGCTGATGCTTTTTATGCAGCTTGCTCGTCTTCGAGCGCCTCCCACAAGCCCGCCAGGCTGCGGCACAGCGACGGCCCGCCCGAGGGGTGGCACAGCACGAGGAGCGCCGACGCCCGGCGGCTGGGCCGGTAGTACACGAAGGGACCACCGCTGGACGGCCTCGCGCAGCGAAAGGCGCTTGGCCACGCCGCCGCCAGCCCCCGCTGGGGCCATCCTGGGCCCCGGCACGGCCGGTGCGCTCGCCCGTGAGGCGAAGCCAGGACGAGGACGAAGTCCGGCGAGGGCACGTCGAGGATCTCTCTGGGATCTGGCGGCTCTGGAGGGCCTTCCCAGAGCGTCCTGGAACGCTCTGAGAGCGTTCCAGAACGCTCCGGGACGGACTCCCTGAGATCCGACGCTGGAAGGCAATTCAACATCGCAAAACTCATGACCGGACTCCTGGACCCCATCCTTCTGCGTCATTGTCATTCTCCGCTCCGGATCGACCTGTGAGGGTCCGGGGCCCCGAACAGGACGAACACGCCCGGCTCGAAACAACGGAGTCGCACAAATCTCAGGGCTTCTCCTCGTCCGAGCCCCGTCCGACCACCCGTGCCGGCCCCCAGGGTGGCCCCGGTCGGGCACGGCGGCGGCGCACTGGCCGCCTCAGCTGCGGAGCCTCAGGGCCAGCGCGCCGAGCGCCGCGTCGCACAGCGGCCGGGCCCTGGGCACGGCGAGGGAGGCGTCCACGAGGGCCAGCGCCGCGACCCGTCGCGCGGCCTCCAGCAGCACGGCGGCGCTCTGCGCAGCGCTCCGAGGTGCCAGCCCGGGCGGCGCCAGGGCCGCCCGTGGCGCGCACGGCGAGACCTGGCCGGCCTCCGCGGCCTCCGCGCCGGCCTCGCCCATGGCGCAGCAGGGGGGGGGGGGGAGGGCGGGGGCCCGCGAGCTGGCGCCTCGGTTCTGGAGCGGCTGCTGGCGGCACCCCGGACGCCGCGCCCGCGCGGAGGGCCTCCCCGAGGCGCCGCCGCTCGCGGCACGCGCCGGAAGCTCTCCGCGCAGCGCCGCCTCCGAGACGCAGCGAAGGCCGGGGAGGGGGGGTCGGTGGCGACGACGAGGGCGAATAGCCCAGGGGCGGGCATCACACGCATTCGCCCGGGGGCCTCGCCGAAGACATAGACCATCGGCGCCCCTGGATACATGTATTGCTCTCCCCTGTGCTCTTAGCCCCTGTCATCGCCTCTTGAGGGGGGGGCTAAGCCGACGCGGCGCCTCGAGCGGCACGCCTCTCGGCGCACAAGGCTGCAGCCGGCGTGCGGCGCCTCGGCTGCGAAGGCGGGCGCGGGGGCACGCGCGGGGGCGCGGCCCCAGCACCGCGACTGGTGGGGGGGGGTGGGGGGGGGAACGGTCCAAAGGGCCCGCTCCACGGGGCCGCGCTTCCACCCCGCCAGCGCCTCCGCCGCCCGTCGGGGGCGCGCAAGCAGGGATTAGAGCGATCCACGGATTGGGCGCGCGGTCGCCAAATCCATGGGTCGGGGGCGGTGCCCTCCCAAAATGCGGCCGGTGCCGCCTCGCTCGGCGGCGGAGATCCGCGATTTCCAACGGAAACGGGACCCGTCGCTACTCCACGCCCCCCTGATCCGTGTTCGCGATCGCCTGAGAACAGGGAACAGCCTCGGGCAGCCGCGTGCGGATCCGACCCCGGCAGGTCCGATCTCTGAAGCAGCAGTGGGGGGTCGAGGTGCTGAAGCCACGCGTCAGGGGGAGGAGCTCGCAGGGAGGGGGGAGAAGGGGGAGGGGGTTAGGAAGCCAGAGGGGGTGCAAGGAGAGGAGAACTCGAGGTTGGAGCGTGCTGGCGTGATCCCCAATCCACCCCCCGACCTAATCAAAGTAAGCTGGGCTCTGAAAGATGAACCTGAGAGTCATACAGCCTCACAGAGACATCACCCATGTAACCGTGATAACCTCTACATCACAAGTCGGGTACTGTGGACGGGTTCAGGGGTCAAACGTCGTCCTGTTCAGGGGGAACTTTGACCAACGAGCCACTCCCCTGGATCTGACTTGCAATAAGGCTGAATTGGGTAGCCCATAGAATCCGACGTCGCGAACAAAAAGAACAAGATATCGCGGACAATCACAACTACAACACTTGACCGCGCCCTCGATCTGTGAGGGTCCCTAGGCCCGATCCGTGAGGGCCCTGGGGCCGTGAACGACGCCCGGATCTCAGGGGCCTGGGCTTGCCAAGTCCTGCTCGGGATGCGCCCTTGACGGGCCCCGGCTCCGCAGCTCCTCGGCCCCGGCGACCCGGTCTTAAGGGGACCCTCGGCGGGCGGCGGATATGGACACACTTGCCCCCCCGCCCCCCCCCAAGGCCCAGACATATCCCCAGACATGCGACGTCCTGTTTTCGGCGGATGTGGACGCACTTGCCCCCCCGCCCCCCCCCCCAAAGGCCCGGACATGCCCCCAGACGTGCGACGCCCTGTCTTTTTCCATGCGGGGCCCCCGCAGACCCCGCATGGCCGCAGGACCTGGTACATATGAGGGCCCCAGGGGCGGCAAACAGCAGACCACCTCCGCCCCGACGTGCGCAAGACGTTGCGTGCCTGGGCCCGTGTCCACCGCCCGCCGAGGCCCTCGGGGAACAGTCGATGACAGAAGAGTGCGGCTTCGGAGGTCCGCGCGGATGTCTTGCGCTGCCCCCCCCCCCCCCCTCCCCACACTCCCTGGCGCGCGGGGCGCGCCAGGAGCGGCGCCGGAGCGCGCCGCCATAGGGGGGGCCCAGCGCCGACATCCAAGACATCCGCGCGGAGCGCCGAACGCTCATCCCTGTGCAGTCTTGTCCTCTTCGAGGTCGGAAGAGGGGCCGATTGCCCGCCACCGCCATCATAGGTATGGGGAGGGAGGAGGAGGAGGAGGAGCAGGAGGAGGAGGAGCAGGAGGAGGAGGAGCACGAGGAGGAGGAGGAGGAGGAGGAAGACCTCCCCAGCCTCCCTTGTCCCCCGTCCTTCCTGTGGTAGCGGTGGTGGAGACCTGGCCCATCATGAGATGCGCAGCCCCCCGCCTCGGACGCTCACCGCGGCCCCAGCAGCGCCAGCGGCTCGATGCGCATCGCCCCGCGGCTGCGCGCCAGCGAGGGCGACTGGCCCAGCGCGGCGCGGAAGGCGGCGGCGTCGAGCGGGCTGCGCGAGGCCGCGTGCACGACGTAGCCGCCCGGCAGCGAGACCCGCAGGTGGCCTGGGAGCGCGCCCCGCAGCAGGGCGCCCGCGCCGTCGTCCCCAGCGCGCCCGCCGCCGCACACCGTGGCGACCGCCAGCACGCCGCCGTCCCCCAGGCGGCCTCGCGCGAGCTCGAAGGCAGCGTTTTCGCTTCGTGGCCCCAGCGGGCGCGATGGGACGGGCGCGCTCCGCTCCTCGCAGAAAGGGCTGCTCGCGGGCGGCCTGGGTCCGCCGAGAGGGGGAGCTGCGATAATTACGTTGCATCGATGCGGATGTGTGTGTGTGTGTGTGTGTTTTTTTTCTGACGTTTGCGAGCAGACGTTTTGCGAGTAGCAGAACGCGTTCGGTGAGTTGCGGGGGGGCGACGGGAGGGGGCAGAACGTAGCGCCCCACCCCATGGGCTGTGGTGCCGGACGCACTGCGGCAGTGCCAGGGACGCACTGAGAGGGGGGGAGCGTTGCGTGACGGGGGAGGGTGAGGGAGGTAACGGGCGGGGCAGGACGCGCGCTATGGCCCAGAGGCAAGAGAAGCACTCTCCTCGAAGGCTTTGGGGGAGGGCTCGTAGGAGGGCCTCGGAGGAGGGCGACGGGCGGGAAGGCCATGGGAAGGGAGAGATACCGACAGCGCTGCTCGCCCCGGAGAGCCCTCGTCGCCACGGCGGGGCTCTCCGCAGAAAAATGTTGGTCGGAATGCGCCCCCGAGAGAGGTCCGGGAAGTGGCGGTAGCAGTGCCTCCCTGTCCCCCAGGAGAAGCATAGGGAAAGGGGAGCTGGAGGA